CCAGGGCCTGCCCTGCAGTGTCCCAGGCCGGCACTTGCCTGCAAGGTTGCAGGTTACAAGCAGTGGTGAGAGCTTACCTGGGTCTCTGTCAAACTCTCAAGGGCTTGCATGACAGACTGCTCCGGCCTTGAGGCCTGGGACTACAAAGAGAGGGAGAAAGAAGGCTCCTAAGTGTGGGGTGGGCTGTCCACGCAGGAGAGGGGGCGCGCACGCAGGTGACTGACAGTGGCCTGGGAGGGAGCGCGCTTTGCCTGCCCCTGCGTGTGGGACCTCCCGGGATCTCTGGGGCACTCCACCCTACAGCAGTCATTTACCATGAGGCCCGCTTCCACGGTGGGCACCAACGTCAGCTTACTGCCATCCCCCACGCCGAACTCCAGCAGCTTCCCCGAACTGAGCCGGCTGGGGGCAGGAAGGAAGAGGGTGAGCCGCATAGACAACACAGGGACGCGGAAGCGGAGGCCGCGGAGGGGGGGTGCGTGCAGAAGGGGGGAGAGACAGGAGTCCTTCCCACCCCCTCCTTTCCCGGCTTCCAGATCCTGTGCCCTGAGAGTGTGTGGGGGAGGCTACTTGGCCCTGGAAGCCCCTATTCTCGCAGCTTAGACCTCCAGTCCAAGACCCAACTCCAGACTTGGGCACCCTCTTTTGCATTTCAACAGGGCACTTTCCTTTTTGGCTCACCTGGACCCCCATGTGCCCTTTAGTTCCGTCCCCCGCGCCCCCCCTGGCCAGCCCCTGTCTGTAATTTCCCAACTCTTGCCCAAGCGTGTCTTTGTGGTTGCCTCAGGGCTTCGGCCCTTGGAGAGGCCTTCGGGGGGCTGCGCCGGGCCGGGCTCCCCCTCCTCCCTCCCTGGCGCAGGCGGCCGCCGCCGCCGCCGCTCAGACAAAGGAGACCCTCCCCCTCCCGCCCCTCCCCCACCGGGGCCCCTCCGCTGGGGATGGACACTGAGTGTCCCTGGAGGCCCGCGGGGGGAGGACTCCCCGGCCTGGAGGCGATTTAAATACCAGGGGGGAGGGGGAGGCAGTGGGGAACGCTCTGTGGCGAGAACAAAGCGGGGCAGAGAGACGCAAGTGGGGGGGAAGACAGCCAGACACAGAGGGGGCCGCCGAGCAGATGCGGAAACCGGCGAGGACGCCGGCTCAAGAGGAGGCGGATACGGCCCCCATTCGAGCAGCCGGGACCCCCCCTGCGCTCTAGGGAGCCTGCCTTTCCCCCCACCCTGAAAGGGGAGCCGTAGAACCCGACCAGGCGCCTCTGCCCCGGCCTTTGTGCGGCGACCCCAGGCTCGGGGCGGTGGGGGGGGGGGGTCGAGGCTAGCAAGGCCGAGCAGAGGGCGCCCGAGAGCGCGCGGCGCGCCCCCGTACCCCCCCCCGTCTCGTTGCCCCCCTTTTCTCCGCGCGGCGCGCTCTTTGTTCCCGCCCGGGGGCCGGGGCCCGAGGGGGCGGCCTGGCGCGGGGGGCGGGGGTTCGCAGGAGGTCGGGGTCGCGCGCGGTACCTACGTGTCTTTGTGGAGCAGCGCCAGGCGCTCCTTGGGCACTTTGAGGCGCTGGGACAGCCGCTTGCGCAGCCCCTCCACCGTCTCGTCGGGCGGCACCGACAGGTCGTAGCGGGTTCCGGTGGTGCTGTGGATGGCCAGGTTTATGGGCGCCGTCTCGGGCGTCGGGCCCAGTTCGCAGGCGCCGCCGGGGGCCCCGCGCCTGCAGCTCCGGGCGCCGCCGGGCTGCGGCTCCATCCCCGGCACGCGCTGGGGGGCTGGGGTCCGCGGGGCGCCACCAATCCTTGCCGCGCCTTCCGAGGCCGGGACTTCCCCGAACTGGGGTCCTCCTTCCTAGGCGCCTGGAGATGGCTGCAGCGCACGGGCCCCTGGAGAAGGTCCCAGCGATGGAAGGCTAATCGCAAAGAAAAGAATCCCAGGGGCGCTCCGGGGTTGCGACCGCTCCTTGGGGCTTGCTCCGGGGTGGGGTCTGATCTCGCGGCGCCTTCACGGCCGGCGCGCGGCGCGGGGAGGGTCCCGAGGAGGGGGCGCCCTGGCGCGGCGCGCTCGGTGCCTCTGCTTTTCGGGTCGCGCTACCCCGCGCGTCCCCTCCCTTAGCAACAGCAGCCGCAGCCGCCGCTCTCAGGATCTGGGGGTGAAAGTAACAAGAAAAAAAAGTTATAATGTATCAACGTTCCAAGGGGCGGGGCCGCCGCCCCCTCCCATTCACTACTTACTCCGCTGGCCCCGCAACGACCAATAGGTGGGCACCGAGAGGCTAGTCGGCCGCGAATCCCGACCAATGGAAGCGGCCGCAGCGCTAACCCACGTGGCAGCGTGGCCTGCCCTTAGCCCCACCCCCGTCGCTCAGGGGCCCAACGGGAACGCAGCAAGGGCGGGACTGGCGCCGCTCCGGGCCCTCCTCCGCGCCCCCGCCCGCGCCTGCAGCCATTCATAAGGCTGGGAGCTCGTAACAAAGGGCGGGCGGGCCCTGAGGGGTCTAGGACCCCGCTCCAAGACTGGCCTCCACTTTCAGGGACCGCCAGGGGAGCGGCTTGAGTATGAGGAGGGGGCGCGGGTCATTGTTCCCGGCGCCAAGAGGAACAGGAAGTCGTGGGGCCTCCCCACTGTGTCCGTCTGGGAAGCAACCTTCAGCGGAAGCTGGAGCGTGAACCCTGCGCCTCGTGGCCGAGGTCCCCGGCCGCGCGGTGCCGAGGGACGGGCCAGCCGGTGGCCTGTCCCCGCCCCCGTGGGTGGGTAGGTGTGGAGGCCTGGGCGGGGCGTGAGGCCCCGGGCAGGGCGCTGCACCTAGGTGACGTGGCCAAGGCCGGTCGCGCCCCTCCCGAGCCGGTGCCACCGCGCATCCCTGCCCGCCCAGGTCTCCCGGGCCGAGCCCGTTTCCCGAGACGCGCTCGCTCGAGCCGTGACGTGACGCGGCGTCCCCGCTGCGTCCGCGCACTCCGCTCCGGGCAGCGGTGAGTCAGCAGCGCCGACGCGCCCTCTGTCGGCCGCACCCGGGATGCTGCCCGCAGTCTGGGGCAGGGGGCACCGCGCCGGTGGGACCCGGGAGAGGGCCAAGAGGTTGAAGGCCTGGAACGAACCCCCCGGGGGAACTGAACCCTTGTGGAGACTAGGATGGTACAGCCGCCCGTGAGGCAGGCACGGGTGACTAGTTCAAGGTCACTGGCCGGAAAGGGGAGTGCTGGGGGCGGGGCGGGGGCTGCGGTCTCGCCAGGGCGTTGCCAACAGTACCCAGCGCCTCCCACCGAGCAGCCCAGGGGTCTTCCCAGCCTGAAGCACCCCAACTCCTGTCTGTTCCAAGGACAAAGAAAAGTAGGGGCGCCGTGAACAACCTATAGAGTGGGGCGCTCGCTCCGCCCTGCCCCCGAAGTCCCGCCCCCCACTCACCAGGCGCTGTTGGCCCTGGGTCCCCGCTGTCCCGAGCAAGCCCGCGTGCAGATACAGGCATGCAGTAGCCTGACCGGTCTGGGGCAGTGTGAGCGGCCCCGAGCCTTTATCCGCACCGCCCTCCCTCGGGGTGGAGTTTGGGCGGGCAGGGAGGGGGGTGCCAGGCGGGTAGGTGATGCACTGGCCCCCGCCCCTGCCTGCTGGCCAGGGCCCCGGGGCGCAGAGGCCTGGGATACCCAGTCCCCAGGCTTTGCCTGGTGTGTGTGTGTGACAGGGTGTTGAATACCGCTGACCCGGGAATCCTGCCTACCTCGTGGTGACCTCGGGCGCACCCACAGACTGCTGTTTCTGGGCCCCAGGCCGGGATCCATGCCCTGTGTCCCTTCCTGGCAGTCCAGGCTCGGTGCTTCCGCCTGGGGGGGCCCGTGTGGGGAACGGAAAGGGGGCCTGAGTCAGCAGCTGCCGTCCAGGAAAACAGGCCGAAGTCACCTGCCAGGCAGTGGTGTTCAGGCCAGCTGCTGCATCCCCTAACGGTGACCTCAGAGGGCATTTCTGAAGTGATTAACCAGAGGCTAGCGTGGGTCGGGGCCAGCCAGTCACCACCAGCGCTCTGTGTGACCTCAGGAAGGAACTGGCCTCTCTGAGCGCTCCGCAGGGCTCATGCTAGGGCGCACCGCCACGGGCCTATTGTCCTCACACAGCGAATGCGTGCACACAGCCAGCCCCAGGCCTTTGGTAGGCCTGACCCATGCAGCCAGCATTTTTCATCCTCAGTGGGGGCTTCCCAGGATGACCCTGGCTGGGCCAGGGTGAAGGGGGACCGGGGCGCTCCCCCACCACCTCCAGTCCAAATTATCTGCTTTCTCCCTTTATCTGGCCTGACCACCTCCACCTCCACCCCTGCCCTGGGCACCCCTCCCAGGGCTGTTCCTTTCCAGGTTCGCCTGCTCCCACCCTAAAGCTCCCTGCAGGCCCTGGTCCCCCCAACCTATACCAGGTGCACCCACATTCTCCCATCCATTGGGGTCAGAGGTTCCTGGAAGGAGGTCCCAGGGGCTGGCTTTGAGGCATGATGCTGAGCTTGCCGCACCGAGGACGGTGCTCCAGCAAGTGTGAACACACTGACTGAGGACAGCTGTAGCAGCTCAAGGGAGGAGGCAGGCTCAGGTCAGGTGCTAGGCTAGGTCTGCCCTGCTTCTGGAAGGCACAGCCATGGCAGGGGCATCTTTGGGCCCTGGAAGCCAAGCCACCCAGTGTTAGGGACCTCCAACTAACCCTGCTCTCCTCCGCATCTCCTGAAGGGCAGGTGGTACTGGGCTGGGGAGTGCCCTGCCACCTGGACGCTGTGACCTCAGCTGACCAGGAATGGATCCCTAACTGTGGTGAGTACAGTAACTCTGGGAGGGGGAGGTGGCCCCCGGAGATGAGATGCTTGCTATCTAAATAAAAGGTCTCTGGCACCTGCTCCCTGTCTTTCTTCCCATGGGTCACCCCCATCCTCAGGTGGTTCACCCCAGGTGTGAACAGAAGCCCTGGACACTGCCTGGAACCCCTAGCTGCCCTGTCCCCACTCTGCCTCTTCCCCCAGGACTGGCCAGCTACTGCAGACTGTCCCTGCGGCCTGGCTCACATCTCCCCAGGAAGTGGACTCCCTGTGTCACCTGCGGGGTGTGCTAGACAGGAGTGACTTCTTCCTCTGGGGCCCAGGCAGGCCCAGCTACCTCCTCGTCTTATTTGTAGCGCCCATGGCTGTGGGGGATGGGAAGAGAGGGGCTGCTCCCTGGCCCTTGGGCCCAAGACAAGCAAGACCCAGATGAGATAGACTGGGCTTCCTGACCCTTCATGACCTTCAGATAGGACACCCCAGGGTGCATCCCTGGAGGCTCCGAGATACTCACAGCCAGGCCTGGCATGTGGCCCTGGGGAGTCACTCACACGGGGCTATGACACAGAGTGAATGAACTGCCTGTGTGCTCACACAGGCCACACACAGGCCCCAGGGTGGCCTCCCCGTCACCATCCTGGCTCCAGGGACATGGCCAGGCGGTAGCCCTGACTCTGTACACTCACCCCTCTGGAATCCCCTCCCTATCCCACTCAGACATGGTGGGGAGGGAGGGAAGGCAGGAATCCCTCTCCCACCGTGTCCCAGCTACCCCTACAGGGTTGCAGAAGGGGTGGGGTAGTGCTGAAGGCACCCCATCCTGGGCCCACTCCTCCATTTAGGGCCAGCCAGGGGCCTGGGTGCCTACAGCACTGGGGCCTGGGCTGTGTGCCAGGGCAGGGCCACCCACAGGCTGGGCCAAGGGCACAGGGCAGGGCCTCGTGGGAGGTGGGGCCCCTCTTCCCAGGCCTGCAGGGCGGGATGGGGCGGTCTCAGCCCAGGCCTAGACAGCAGACCTGGCAAACACCCCAGGTGTCTGTGCAGCAGCCCAGGCCTGACTCCGCTGCCACCACCCCAGCCCTGGATGTGACCTTTGTGCCCTCCCCATCATGGCCAGCACTCTGCACCCCACACAGTGCTGCTGAGCTTCAGTTTACTGAGGGCAAGCAGGACACCCAGTCCAAAGAGGTTCCAAGGCCCCAACTCAAAGGGCACATGGAGTGTACGCCACCATCCCAAGCTGGAGTGACAAAAATGGTACACACTGGTTAGGATTCCCCGTGTTTAATGGAGGGGTGGGGACCAGGGCAGCTCTTCTGTGGAGGTGGCTGGAGCAGGCAGGTTTCCAATGCAGGCTCTGTAGGGCAGGGGGTAGTGGGTGGCTGTCAGGACACGCGGCCAGGTGACAGACCCCTTGGCCAGCAGGCCTGAAGACTGGGCCTAAGACACGCTGCACTGCCCCCTGGTGGCTATCGCAGCAAGCTGGAAGCCAAGATTTGCAGACCACGCCCCAAAGGGGCGGGCCCGGGAGCTGGCTCAACCTGCCCCTGGGGTGTCCCTGGCCAGGCCTCAGGTTTCCCTGGCGATGAAGGGCACGCACCGCCTACTCAAGGGCCTTCACCAGGGCCTCGTTGGCCTCGATTCGGATTTGGATCTCTGCACGTGCGGCCTCATCTGTAGTCCCGGACAGTTCCGACTGCGCCTTCTCCAGATTTGCCCTGGCAGTCTGCAAGGGGTGGGTACAGGGTAAAGGATGGCCAGGGACCATAAGCCCAGCACCTCCCCTTGCACTGAGCGCCCTTTCCTGCAGCCAGGGAACACTGGACAGCTCCTGCCAGTTCTGAGCCTCAGTCTCCCCACTGACACTCACCCCCACGTCCAACATGTCCAGCGTCACAGCCTCTTCAGCCAGTAACTGTACGGAGGAGTCGGCGTTCACTGTGACAGATCCACTGCTCACTGCAGAGGGAGGGCAGGAACAGCCTGAGGCCTTGTTCATGCTGTATCTAGGCAAGATCTCAGGGCCCACCCTAGCCAAGAGCTCCCAACACCCAAGTGTGCGAAAAGCCACCAGCCCAGGGAGACCCCACAGGCTGACCCTAGGGCCCAGCACACATGGTGGGGGGTGGAGAGGGACAAACTGTCCCAGGGAGTATAGAACAGGTGAGAAGAAAACAAAGGCTGAGCACATCTTGGGACCACGGAGTCCCTCTTTGGACTCACCACATGCTAAGTGGCCCAGGCTGGGCTCAAACTTGCCATCATCCTGCCTCAGCCTCCTGAATAGCTGGGATAACAGGTATCCACCTCTCCTCTGCGCCCAGCTCCTTAGCTCGACCATCTCTCCCGAGCTGCCTGTCTCTTGCTGGTGCCCATCACCACCCCACACCCACCGAACACTGATTCACAGCAAGGTGAACTGTTTGCTTTTTGCTGTTTCCCAGATGTCCACTTGTCTGAGCCCAGCCCTTCGGGAACAAGACGCCCTCAAGTGAAATGCACCAGACTAACCAAAGTACTTAGTCGTGGTGCCATCTTCAGCGTGGACTACAACCAGTCCCGGCCGCAGGACCTGTAGAGTGGGCACGTGGGACGCCAGGATGCCAAAGGCTCCTGTCAGCGTGGGAACATCCACCTGCCGCACGTTGGCACCGTTGAAGAACACCTGGAGGGGGAGTGGGACACGCTGTAGCCGCCGGCCTGCCCCACAGCCACTAGGGGCTCAGTCTTTCCTGTGAAACTGTGTCCAGGCAGGACGGCGCCCAGGTGGCGACGAAGGCCGCCAGCGCTGGGTTCGGTCTGGGAGCAGTTTTTCCCTCCATCGCTTATCTGCAAACTGGGAATGCCAGCACACGGAGCTGTGCCGCTCCCCAGAGAGACAGCAGCAAAGGACATTTTAGCACGAAAGGGAGGACCCGACACTGGACAGAAAGCAATGTACGGCCAGACGTGAGACGGTGACAAGGATGCGGCTCCCGGGTGGAAGCCTGCGAGCCGTTTCTCCCCTGCCCTGACACGCCCGTCCCGAAGCGCACGGACGGGGTTCAGCGACCCTGCGGGCCGAGGGGCCTCAGGACCCCACGGCTGGGGGAGCGCGAGGTCCGGCAGAGGCGTTCGGGCACCAGGGCATGGCAGCTGGGGCTGCAGGAGCCCGGAGCGCAGCCCAAGACTCCTGCGACTCTGTGGGCCGGGCAGACGGGGGCGCCTTGTCCCCGGGACCGCCGGGGAGAAGCGGGAGGAGGCCATCGAGGGGGCTGGCGACCGGGTGGGCGCTCCGGCCCCAGGGAGGCGACGGCGCGTGTCCGGACCTGCGTGGGAGAGGCGAAGGTGAAGGACATCTGGCCCGGGCCGGCGGCGGGAGCCGAGGCAGCGGCAGCTTCGGCGTAGGCGCGCACCTGGCGGACCAGGCGGCCCAGGCCGGGACGGCGGAGCAGCGCGGCGGGCAGCATGGAAGCGCCGGTGGACGAATAGGGGCGGCAGCAAACACCGGACTCCGGCGGGAGAAGCGGCCTGGAGGGCGACGAGGACGACGCGCGGGGGCTTCTGGGAGGCGCAGTCCCCAGGAGCGCGCAAGCGTGCACTACGACTCCCGGCGGGCCGCGCGCAACGTCGATGACGAGCCGCAGCGCCGCGCGCGAGGGCTATCCTGGGAGTTGTAGTTTTCTTCCGACCCTCGCAAGGGTTGGAAATTTGTGGGGTGGACGGTTAGACCTTTCCGCACCTGTAGCACTTGACGCCTGTGCGAAGAGGGGTCCATTTGCGCTCCAGTGTTGCCTCGCGTCGCTCACTGTATGGCACGCACTGCACACTTTTGGGAAGTAAGAGCAGGGTGCTCAAAGATGATGGAGCGTTTATTATTTGTGGATATAAACTAATCTATATTGTGTTAAAAAGTGACAGGCGCCGGGCGTGGTGGTCCAAACCTGTAATCCCACCGCTCAGGAGGCTGAGGCAGGAGGATCACTGAGAATTTGAGGCCAACCTGGGCTACACAGTGAGTCCAAAACCCGCCTGAACTACATACTGAGACCGTGTCTTCAAAAAAAAAGTGACAGATGCAAAAATAAACACGTAACACAAACTAGGGCGGGAAGCGGGCAGTAGGGAAAGTTGAATCTGTACAGGAAAATGTCGGGAATGGCACCTCAGGCGAGGCACGGCGCGCGCAAGCTCCCAATGGGACGGTTGTTAGGTGTCCCAGTACCAGCAGGGGGCGCCTAGAGCCTGGAAATGGGCTCGCCGCGCTCCACCGCCCCCGCCCATCGCACCCCCCCCGCCCCCGCGCCTCGCTGACGCAGGAGCGCGTGCGCGGGCGGCTGCAGGGCCCGGTTGACGTTAACCGTGTCCCGCGCAGCCTCGCTCGCGGCCATGACGTCACCGCCCCGCCCCCGCGCTCACGCAAGTCGGTGCCTTGGGTTGGGCTGGGCTTCTGCCCCCTGCTTGTTGGGCTCCCGGAAGATACAGGGTCAGGGCTGGCGGGGGATTGGTGTCTCACACACTGAAGGCGCTGGTTTAAGTGGCAGAGGGCCGGAGGCCAGGATGCAGAGATTGTGGTCTCACTGAGCGGGGGCCTGGGGCCCGCCTGCTTAACCATGCAACAGCGAGGGAGACCCGACGCCTAACACCTCGCTAGAGCCTGCACCCCGGACCCCAGAATCCAGGCACCTGCTGATCCATGTCAGAGACCCCAGGCCAGCGCTGTGAGGGACACCCGGGTCTTCAGTCTCAATGACTGGCCCCAGAGTGGGTGCAGCGGGACGGTCCACCCTTTCCTAGGTGTACACGTGTGATTGATGGCCTCTCTGGAACGGCTTCCCTGTACCCACTTCTCCTCCACGGAGCAGGGAGGCCTAATGGGCTCCTCAAACTTAGCACTTGGGGAAAAAAATCAGCAGTTGGGTAACCTGCAGCCCCCACTCTGACAGTTGCGCAGTTACTTAGGGCCCAAACCTGGGAAGATCCGAGAACTTCACCCCGTCCGGCCTGTCCACCCATTCCTGCCTTTGTGGCCATCTCTGGCCTGCACAGCCCCAGCCTCCTCGCCCCTCCCCGCGGGTACCAGAAACTCTCCCTTGGGAAAAGCTGAAGCCTGAGCGAGTCATTTCTCGGCTAGGAGCCATATCTTGGTTGCCCTGCTTTGCCTTTTGCAAACACGTTCCTTCTTTGGGGCCTTCCCCATCCGGTGCCAGTATCTTTGTGCATTTATTTGATCGCCTGGCTGCCCCTCACCAGACACTTCTCCATTCCGTCCTGCGTGCAGGCCCTGTGCTGAAGAAGTTCCTGTCCTGTCAGGTGTGGTGCACTCTGGGAGGCTGAGACAGGGGGATCACAAACTCCAGCTCAGCATGGCCAATTCAGCAACCCAGCTAAGGGTCTTGCTCTGTAGTTAAGGCTGGCCTTAAACTCACTATGGAGCCCAGGCTGGCCTCAAACTCTCTTGGTGATTCTCCGACCTGAGCTTCCTGAGTGCTGGAATGACAGGCATGTGTCACCCCACCCAGCAAGTCCTTAAAAAATAAAGGACTGGGGATGTGGCTCAGTGCAAAAACAAGAAACAAAAACAAAAACAGGAAAAAATTCCCGTCCTTTTGAACTCACAGTGTAATGAGACAACATGAGGAGTAGGATACCTGAGGTAGGGTTACAGACAGCAGAATGGAGACCTGGGGATTGCTACGAAACTCATGGTTTCTTGGGAAAGTTGAGGGTGAAACTTTCGAAGAGCACACGATGGGCGGACACAGACAGGTGTCAAGGCCCTAAGGTTGGCCTGAGCCTGATGAATTCCCAGTGGCAGAAGGATGCTATTGTGAGGCCACACACACAGGCCCACGGTCGCTGGGATGGGATCTGGACAAGACTAGCGGCAGACTGGTGACCTAAGCGACTAAAAGGATGAGCATGTCTGCATGACAGGAAGTGGGGGACAGCTAGGGGTGTAGTTCAGTCACAGGGCACAGGCTTAATGTGCTGGACCCCCAGCACCAAAAGGAAAAAAAAGGTGGTGGGGCCTGTCTCTGTAAGCAGGGTTTCAGCTGGCATGGTGCCCCATCAGGAGTGGGCCTCTGTGGGTGCAAGGCAGGCCCCGGGGGACCTCAGGAATGCTCTGAGTACTTGTGTTACCATCTCTCCTTTGGTGTACCTTGGGGACAAGGGAGGCTAGGCAAGCCCTTGACAGTGCCATAGGGGACCCACATGCATTGAGGAAACAAGCGCAGTCCATGTCCCCAGATCCCCTGGCCGGACACCCTGCCAATCCCTGATTAGGGGGAACAGTGTGCCCAGAGAACGGATTAGACGGACTGTGGGTGCCCTCCGGACTCCCTGGCCCAGTGCCTTCGGACACAGGGCGATTCCTCCTCCCCAGAATAGGCGATCAGCCTCAGGAACTTGAGCTATGGGAAGTCATGCGCCCTAGGCTCCCTGGCGCTGTGTCCCTGGAGACCGAGGACCTGGAGTAGGTGAGTCTTGCAGCCCTGCAGGGGGTGGGGACCCGGGCGCCACGGGAGGGGGCGCCCGGAGCGCAAGCTCCGCCCCCCGCCCCCGCCGGAAGGGAAGGGGAGGCGGTGGCCGGCGCGGTGCAAGCCAGACGCGGCGGC